TCCACCACAATCTCTCCTCTCCACTACAATCCCTCCTCTCCCCCACAACCCCTCCTCTCCACCACTATCCCTCCTCTCCCCCACAACCCCTCCTCTCCCCCACAACCCCTCCTCTCCACCGCATCTTTGGCTCCCTCCATGTAGCCCCATTTCACAGACACACTCATCCTTCACGTTCTTTTGCTGGGTGGCTTCATGCCTTTAACCCAAAGTATTGTTTCTGTGAGATAGTCCAGAAGTGAGACCTTTTGGAAGTTTAGGGACTGTGTCTAGTTATTAGCTTCCGTTTCTTAGACTTAGTCACTGTTTTCTTGCACCGACAGATCCCATGAAATAGTGTTGTGTCATTACAATAACTCCAGGGCAACTATTTAAAAATATGGACAAACCTTGTGGGATGGTTTTACGTGTTGTAAATGGAAGTTCCGTTGGTCTTGGATTAGCAGGAGTATGTTCAACGGGTAAGGGAGTCCCAGCTGTGTAAAATAGAAGTTGAGAAAGGCATTAAGAGTGAGGTGATGGCGTAGCGCACAGAGCACATCATAAAAGACAGATTTATCCCATGTCTCTCCCACATGCATAGCATTTTACAAAACTCGGGGAAATTGTCTGTTCCGTGTCTCCCTTGCTCCATTTCCCAGATCCAGTCCTATTTCCTCTGTAAAAATTAAAACAAAGACACTTTAAATTCAATTTTCTTCTGGCCTCACAGGAGGTAAATCAATTCTAAGGTTCCTTACCCACACTTCTTTTCTTCCTTTTAAAAAATATTTTATTGATTTTTTACAGAGAGGAAGGGAGAGGGATAGAGAGTTAGAAACATCGATGAGCGAGAAACATCAGTCAGCTGCCTCCTGCACGCCCCCTACTGGGGATGTGCTCGCAGCCACGGTACATGCCCTTGACTGGAATTGAACCTGGGACCCTTCAGTCCGCAGGCCAACGCTCTATCCACTGAGCCAAACCGGTTAGGGCCTTCTTTTCTTTCTTTATACTCCTCAGGGACTTAAGCTACTTTCAAATTTCAAGGTAAGGAAATGAAAATTCCACAATACGTACCCTCAACAGCCACTAAGAGAGTTCTAACACTACTGTTCATAGCCAGAGCTCTCAGAGCTATCTGGGCCTCCCAGGTTTCTCAGGCCCTAATCAGCTAACAGACATCTGTGGATATAGTTATGCAAAGCTGTGAAATTTCTCTTGAAAAAGTGGATTTTAAACAGGGCTTTTTACAATAAACTCCTTAGTTGGGTCTACTTGGTAGAAAAGATCCAAATGAACTTGTAACCATTAAACAACAGGTGTGGTTTGCCTAAACCTCTTAAGGACTAGATTATGTGAAGGGTCTCTCTTCAACCCTTCCTTTCTCTCTCTCTCTCTCTCTCTCTCTCTCTCTCTCTCTCTCCCTCTCCTCCCCTGTGCTCTGAGCCTGTAGCTTTCTGTATCTAGATCAGCTTTCACTGTCTGTTTGCATTGTTTTCAGATTACAGGTTAATTTAAGCATTGTCCTATTTCATTCACAATGCATTTTTATGTTTTACATTACAAGGACACTTGGAACTTTAAATCCAACTTCCTTACCATACAAATAAGAAATTTGATACCATCAAAATTAAATGATTAGCTCAGGTTAACACAGCTGGTAAGGACAGAAACAGAGGCCTAATTCTGCTAACTCCCACTCTTATTCCCACCTCCCAGATCTCTGCCTGACTGAGATCTTGTCAGCAAGATGCCTTTGATGTTTTAGCTCACCGATTGGTGAACACTGGGGTGCGTTGTACACAAAACAAGACAAGTAAATTTCTTGAGCGGTTCTAGAATTTTTAATGATTAGGTAGTTTTCATTTTGACGATTTTTTCACACCAATTTATTGTGCTATTTACATCACATCCCTAAGCCCTCAGTGTCCTCTTGCTACTAAGAGAAACTGTTTTCTGCCCTAGCACTATTGACATGTGGGTCATTTTCTTACACCCTTTACCTCTTCTAACAAGAACACATCCATTCTATACCTGAAAAATGCCACTTCTCTCTGCAAGAGAGGTATGTTGACCTTGAGGTATGATGGCAGATGTGTCCAGCATCTGGCTACCCAGCAACAGGTGGGCTGTGGGGCAGCACTTCACATTTCTTAAGCTGCTCTGGGCTCTGGACAACTTACTCTATCCTATTTGCAACTGGCTGGACCTTGAAGGGAGGGTAGAGTTTTAAGGAAATGGGGAGGAGGGGGAATTGAGGTAAAGAAAGGGCATGGGCTGGGCTAACAGGGAGAAGGGAGAGGACGCGTGCATTCAAGCGGAGGCCGGGGGCAGTGTGCAGGCAAAGGGAGGCAAACCTCTCAGTTGACAAGAGTTTAATGTTCACGTGGGAAATTAGTGTAAAATAAAACAGAAGGGAAGGTTGGGCAAGGCCTCAGACCCCTCGTTTAAAAATCGGTTTTCATTCCCTAGACACCAAAATGCCATTTGCTATGGTGCTTTGTACAAAGTACGTATTTGTGACCTGAATACCAACATTTTAAGTTTGGGAAGGGTGGAATGAATGAATGAACGAATGGATGAATGAATGACTATACCACCCAGAATAGGAAATATTCCAAATGTGCATGGTTTACAGTTTACATTTGCATTCACATTTAAATTTTTTCAAAACATTCACCTCTTTCCTCTCATCCTCACCGCCCTGACCTGGCAGTTGCTCTGGAACACTCCACCAGCCTGCGAGGTCTGTGTGTTGGGGGAGGGCCCTGCCACTGCTCCTCTTGCACCAAGGAGGTTGGGCGACTTGTGGGCCCAGAACACAAGGAATATAATTGGGAATAGAAGGCTAGCCTCCCAACATGCTGCTCTATGCTCTACCCATGAACCCCCGCTCGCCCCAGCAGTGGGCACTTCTAACGCGGGATGTTATTAGAAAGAACAGCAGTAAAATGCAATGTTGGGCGAGGACCCTGCAGTTTTGCTCTGTGCCAAAACTTCCAGTCACTGGGCTCCTGTCACAAAGTGATAAGTCTGTTCATGCAGCAGCTGGCTTGGTTTTGGTTCCCTCCTGACCTGCAGTTGATAGAAGTGTTATCTTGCAAAAACAAACTCTTACAAGGATACACCCTGCCTATGAAATATTTGACTTCAATAATTTCTAAGTCAGAAACCTAAATATTCTGAGTGTTATAGTTTTGGGCATTTGATGATCGTGAAACCTGATAGATGAATTTATTTGAGGAATAAATTTCTGCACGGTTAACTTGTGGTAAAACCTGGGGCAAGAACTCACATCTGCTGATTCTCAGTCAGTGCTTTTTTCTGCTAAACCGTACTGTGTTACACAGAATGCATGTGAGAATGTTCCAGAGAGTGTTTGGAGAAGGCTATTGCTGTGAAGTAATATTTTTTAAAAATATATTTTTATTGGTTTCAGAGAGGAAAGGAGAGGAAGAGAGAGAGATAGAAACATCAATGATGAGAGAGAATCATTGATTGGCTGCCTCCTGCACGCCCCCCTACTGGGGATCGAGCCTGCAACCCAGGCATGTGCCCTCGACCAGAATTGAACCTGGGACTCTTCAGTCCACAGGCTGATGCTTTAACCACTGAGCAATCCAGCCAGGGCTGTGAAGTAATATTTTAAGGGAAACATTCAGTTTTGCTGTTGAACCAAAGGCTGAAAAACTCAGCCCAGGTCAAGGTGTGATAACAGAATCGTATGTCCATCTGTTGTCATTCACTGTGCATTCTTTAATAAGGGTTTTAATAGGCTAAAGTAGCCACTTAAAATTTAGAACAATGGAACTTTCTAATGGATTAAGTGTTTGGTGTGATAACATTTGAACCTAGTCTTTGTTGACTTTTCCCATGGGTTTAAAATATTTCCAAATAAAAATTTGGGAAAAGAAATACAGTAATATAGTGTATTATATTCATGTATACACAAAGAAAATATTTGTTTTACCTATTCTATTATTATTATTATTTGGTTAATCCTCACCTGAGGATTTTTTTCCATTGATTTTTTAGAGAGAGTAGAAGGGAGAGAGAGAGACAGAGAGAAACATCAATGTGAGAGATACACATTGATTGGTTGCCTCCTGCATGCACCCCGACCAGGCCCGGGAACCTGCAACCAAGGTGCATGCCCTTGACCAGAATCAAACCTTCAGTCACCTGAGACAGTCTATCCATTGAGCCAAACTGCCTAGGGCTTTTTCACTTATTCTTGTGTTTTTGTTTTTTAAAAAAATCTCTTCTACTATAATTGGAATAGATAGCTACTTCTTCAAAATATCTTCCATGCTTAAAATTGCCATGTAGTAATGATTAATACATTTTAAAAAATAAAATGGGCAAAAATTTATTTAGCTTTTTGGTAGCCAATGCACATGTATATACACACAAATAAATTGCAGAAAAATTTTATGTATCACAAATATAGATATAAAATTCTTAACGCAAATATTAAATGCAGTACGATATTAAAAGAATATTCTACAATAGCCTAGTGCAGTGATGGCTAACCTTTTGAGCTCAGCGTGTCAGCATTTTGAAAAACCCTAACTTAACTCTGGTGCCGTGTCACATATAGAAAGTTTTTGATATTTGCAACCATAGTAAAACAAAGATTTATATTTTTGATATTTATTTTATATATTTAAATGCCATTTAACAAAGAAAAATCAACCAAAAAAATGAGTTCGCGTGTCACCTCTGACACACGTGTCGTAGGTTCGCCATCACTGGAGTGGTTTATGCCAGGATGGAAGTAATGCAATATTATAATGTCCATTGATATGAATCATCCTTTCAACATATTAAAGAATAAAAATACATTCATATGAACAGAAACTAATAGGATTAACAGACATTCCTAAAGAAAGGAAACACAAGCTTAAAAAGTGTTCCTGGCCCAGCCAGCATGGCTCAGGGGTTGAGCATTGACCTATGAACCAGGAGGTCATGGTTCATTTCCCTGTCAGGGCACATGGCTGGGTTGTAGCCTCGATCCCCAGTAGGGGGTGTGCAGGAGTAGCCGATCAACGATTCTCTCTCATCATTGATGTTTCTATCTCTCTCCCCCTCTCCCTTCCTCTCTGAAATCAATAAAAATATATTAAAAGAAAAAGAAAAAGAAAGGAGAGCTCTGTATGGGTCACATTCGGCCTTTGTACTCTTAACCTCCTGTTACCGTAACTTATGGCAGTTTCCATTCCAATGACAGATTTTCCACTTTACCTTTGTACCACCTACAAAGGTAATGTAGGAATGTCCTTAGGCACTGTGAATCCAGTGATACAAACATTTATCCAGTGATAAAGAAAAGGAGTTCTGTTCTTCCAAAAAACCATACATAAAGAGAGGGTCATGGCATATATTTTGTTTTCACATCTTCATTAAAGAAAAATGAGAATTTGACGATGTTAATAGTTCTTATTGAATATTTTCTATGTACCAGGCACCATGCCAAGCTCTTTCCATAGATTATTTCATTTTATCCTGATAACTTCAGTATGGAGTAGGAATTATCCCCATTGCACAGATAGAAAAACAGAGATTCACACAATTTAAAAATACAGTCAGTGGGCAGTGAAGCTAGATGCCAACCCAGGAGGTTTGACTGTAGGGCCCTCGTCCTTAACCAATATTTTTTACTTCCTTCCCTAGGAGAGGATAACAATTCATCCCCCACTCTGCTCTCTAGAAATCTGCACTGTTGACATTTTTGTGCAAATCTTTCAGATACTTTTTCTAGATATGTTTATAAATATATACTTAAAAATTACTCTGTGTAATATTCTGAAACCTGCCTTTCCTCATTCAAAGAGCATTTTTGTCCATATTAGGGGAAACACTTGTAAAACATTTTAATGGCTTCATAATGTTACATTTGATGCATAAATCATGGTTTACTTAACCCCTGTCATGCTTTTGATTACATAGGCTGTTTCTGCTTCATATTAAACTTTTTAAAAATTTTTTTTATTGATTTAAGAGAGGAAGGGAGAGGGAGAGAGAAACAGAAACATCAATGATGAGAGAGAATCATTGATCGGCTGTCCCCTACTGGGGATTGAGCCTGCAGTCCACAGGCCGAAGTTCTATCCATTGAATCAAACCAGCTTGGGCAAGAGGTCTCCTTTCAGATTGGACTGGAAGAAACTCAGCCGACCACCTTTAACTTGATCCCTTCTCATTTACTACCAGGGATCTAAACTTCTCTTCCCCAAGGCAAGAACATTTGTTTTTTCTTGTTCTACCTAATTCACTGATTACCTGTAAGAACACCTCTGAGGATTTACGCACACCTCAGTGGGGAGAAACCCAGACCCCTTTGCGTCGGACCTTCAAAGCAAACTGCTGAGTTGGAGTCTGACCTAAAATGTCAAGGGGACCAGGTCCTCCACGCCCTGAGGGTCAGACCCCTCCTCCTGCTCTGTGCACTGGGAGTGCTAGGGGGCTGAGAGAAGAACTACCACGTTTAATGCTTTGGGGCTTACAATGCTTTTGAACTCATTTACTTTTCTGGGAGAGGGATGGGCTCGAACACTGCCTGACTCCCACGAAGTGATAGAAGTCTCCCAGTGACTGAAGTGACAAAAGGTCCTATATGTGGTCACTTTTCCGATACTCTTAGCTACTGAAGCATGGTCTTTGGGGACTTGGGGAATCATAACAGGAACAAGCCATATAAAAAAATGGAAGATGAGATACGTTTTAATGGTGGGTTATCACATGTTCACCGTCAGTTGTTGCTCTTTTCTCTACCAAATCCCTGAAATCAGTTTCAGCATACACCATAACCAAGTGTTCGAGTAGCAGTAAACCGTGATGAAATGAACGCTGGTATCTTGGTTTTCCTCCACCAATGTTTGTTGGCATTCTTTCTAAGAAGGAGACCTCTTAGAAAGCAGAGATTGTATTTGTTCAGTTCACTTGTAAAAATATTTTAAACTTGTCCTGATTACAAATTATGACTCTCCTGGCAGAAAATTTAGAAAGTATTAAAAAGCAGAAAAAAAACATTCCCCACACTCAGAGATAGCCCTGGGATGTTTCTTTTCTGAATTTTTCTTTAGTTTTAGTTTAGTTCATTTATCACAGAAAACTACACAGATAGGTACTTATTAAATGTATGGATATGATAAAGGCTGGAAATCGATTACCCACTTGTAGGTTTAAAATTAAAACTTGGGATATCTATTACCCACTGATGTTTGATCAACGCTGTCCGTCGGAGGTGCAGAGGTGGCAGTCGATGTCAAAATATAACCTATAACGACAAGTTGGGAAAATTACTTAAAATGTGCTTCCCAAGTAGGTTCATTGATGTTTTCAATAATCCTCCAGAAAACAAAGTAGAAAGAAATTTATCACAAGTATGCTAATTTTGCAATTTAAAATTAGTGTAAGTTAACTTCAAGATACCATCCATTCTTTTCCCTCTCTTAGGATTTCTCCTTCAAAGAAATTCATAGTAGAATGCCTATTTCTTTCCAAACACCCAATTTCACACCAAGCTAAAGGGATGTATTGGTGTGAGAACCAGACTCTAGTCATTTCAGGCTGACCTTTGAGGACTCATTGAAGTTTAGAGATGGAAAGGATTTTAGATGCCATCTATTCGGTACTTTATTTAATGTACATAAGGAAACTGAGGCCCATGGAAGCTCATTGATTTTGCACAATTAAAGTAGTCCACAGCAAATTTCTGGTTATTTGTCATTTGTGCCACTGTTATTTATTGAGTGCCTTCTGTGTGCTAGCAATGTGTGGGATAGAGAAATGAAGACCCAAGTTTTAATTTTAAAAAATGTATAAAGTCTTGTGGTCCCTGAAATCCGACTTAGAACTCTTTCCTAAAGAATTAAATGGGCAGAAAGGCGCGTTTCTTGGGTCACTGAAGAAAAAGAGCTGCCTTGTTTCCTTATGTCATCCGTAGCACGTGCTTGTCATTCACACTGGTGTGCCTGCGGTGTGTGTAATCAGACGCACAGGTGATCATTCTCTTCCTACGCGAGTCCTCATTTGGCGTAAACAAATAAAAACAACATTCTCTTTTTGCCTTCTCTTCCCTCCCTCTACTTCCTTCCTTGCTGGTTCAACCAATATTCTACTACAGGTCATGAGCTGGGCTAGATTCTGGGGCTACGCCAACGAATAATTCAGGAGTGATAATACCTGTCCCTTTGGATTTTCCAATTAAATCAGCATATTATGACCTAGAATTCAAATTTTGCATGATTTTTAAAGTAAAATCAGGAAACTTTAGAGGGTGCTGGCTTAGGGTATAATTTCCTAGTTGAAGTGATATAATATTGTATTCTCAAATTCTTAGCATCGGAAGCTGATTTTCAAACAAAAGCTTGGCCTTTCCTTGAACACACTAAGTTCTCTCCTATCTCAGAACTGCCGCCCTCTACCTTCCAGTGCCGTTTCCCCAGCTTTTGCAAGGTTGGCTTTTTCTCACTGTTCACCTCGCAGCACACATGTCACCTCCTGGAGAAAAGCTTCCTGCTACCCATTTCCAAAGCAGCCCCTGCTTACGTTTACCACCTTACCTGGCTTCATTTTCTTTGTCTTATTTTTTGTTGTCAGTTATTTTAACAGTTTGCTTGTTCTGCTAATTGTCTGTGGACCTTGCCACTGTTTCCTCCGCCCCCCTCACTGAATGTACCCTTCCCGGGAGCTCATTCGTCTTACTGCTCTGGCCTCAGTGTTGGGCACCTGACATAGGATTACTGAATGAACCAATGAGGGAATGATTGGAAAGAAAATCATTTGCAAAAAACTAACTCTCCATGAGGCAGATGATACTTGAGGTTAGAAATACTGGCGTTAGCCTTAAGATTACTGGAGAAAGCAAAACCATCATTTCTTTCCCTTGCCAATGATGTTTACCCTTCCTCACATTTTTCAGGTTTCCTCTTCAACTAAAGAGTCAAGGGGGGCTGTTTCCATACCTGTCTGTGATTCTGTAAAGTAGTCACATTAACAGACTTTCCATGAAGGGCTTCGGAAGATGCAAAGATTGTAAGAGCACTAGCCTTGAAGGCCTGGGGAGCCTTCCGAGTCATGTGGCCTTGCTGAGCTCCCGTGAAGTATCATTTAAGGCATGACTCCACTGTCTGCTTGAGCAGGTGTAGACATGCAGAATGTATTTCTTTTCCAGGCATCCTTCCTGAATTGGGGGCAGCTCGAAGATGTATCCAGTTTTTCCAGATCTTGGGCCCCACCCAAAGGAAAGGGTGGTGTCTGAGGGACCCTACCTGGCCCTCTGTGACAACACAAAAGGAGACCTCTCCTCTCTTCTTGTAAAACTCTACAAATATTTGCATATATTTAAATATCACACCCTGTACCCTCCATTTGTTTTTTTCAAGAGGGATGTTTTCACACTTTGCTTCTTAAAAAAATTTGGAGCAACTTCATTAGTCTTTGGTTTTCCTCTTCTCAGAAATCACCACTACATATCTAGGTTTGTTCCCTAGTCTATAATTATTATCATTCTTGCATACTTATTTAGTACTTTATTATGTGCTAGGCACTGGAGGCAGTACATTGGTTACTTTCTCAGAGTCCTCACGTGATTACTATGGAGCAGATACTAACATGTCTACGTTTCATAGACGAGGGTGTTGAAACAAAGAGAGGTACGCAATCTGACTTCATTGTTCTCCGACCTTTCAGACGTGGAACCAGATTTGGACCCAGTTCCCCCTGTCCCTCAGGTCAGCGCTTTGACTGTTACACAATTTCCCCCCCTGAAGTCCCTTAGCAAACGCTGGCTCTCTTCCCTGCCTCCCACAAGGTGCCCAGGAGGCGCCGGCTACTTGCTCTGACTCCAGTGAGAGAAATGTCTGTCGGGCTAAGATCACTGCTTCTCCTTCTCTACGGGCTGGGCGCTAGTATTTCTAACACACAACACTGCCTTTCGAGAAGATGATCACCATGACATTCTCAGGAAGAGGCCAAAGATAATGAGAATTTAATATGACGTAAAAATACCCTTACAGTGTTTCTTTATTTGAGTAAATTGATTTAGTTGTGTCCCCAAACCGAGTAACACCTAAGCCAAGAGAGTTGTTATTTCTTTTTCCCACCTCACACCTCAGTAACGGACCCACAGAGGGACGCCTGTGGTTACTGAGTCCATGCGTGTGGCTTGTGCCTTTCTGACAGGAGGAGGAGGAAATTATAATATTCTGGGAAACTCGTTAAAAATGGAGGACCAGGTATCTATCCTCCTCCTCCTCATTAATGACTCTTTTATTTAGAAGTCCACCTCATTAAAACGTAAACAAAGCAACTAATGTATTTGCACAGAAAGAGTTCTCATACTCGTTGATAGAATTCTTTTAACCTGGCGAGGCTGAGAATTAAAGCATGCGTCTCACACTGGAAAACGGTGAGCCGGCCACAGTTACTGGCTCCCTCGTGCTATTTCCTCCACGTTGACAGCCGAGTCCCAATAAGATCCCTCCAGCAAACTGGGATCTGAGATGGTCTCATTTATTTATTAATTTGAATAAGACAGAACTACAGTGGGATAGTTTATATTTTAATCTATAACCTTATATCCAATATAACAGCCTTAGGCTAAAAAAAAATTCCACTTACCTGACAATAGTAATGCAATTAGTATTTTTTCGTACATCCTGAGATCATGAGCCGGCTCACAGACGTCAGGGCACGAGGAGCAGCTGGGACGGTGGAGTGTCAGCCTCCAGCTCCAGCCTGCACCCTGTTATCTGCCAGGCCCACCTTCCCGCCGGCATCGCTGATAGGCTGGGGTGGCATTTTAAATTATGCAAAGTTGTCAAAGGCCTGTCAATAAAGGTGCGTGTGTATGTGCTGAATTGGGATTATTAAAGTGTTAAGTAAAATCTCCACTTCGAGGACCTGGCTGCTCCATGTTCATTTTACTTTACATAAATGAAGTGGGCATGGCAAGGTAGCAGAAGGCAGGAGCCGCCCCATTGGACAAAAAAGAACTGGACTGTGGAGGCCTGAGGCCAGGACATCAGCAGGCTGTGGGGACTGTTAGGGAGTTAGCAACCTGTACATGATTAATGTGGAGATTCTTGGGTACCAGGAGGAAAGAGACTCTTTACCTGTAGAATAAATGAATTTGAGAACTTCAGTGATTATTTGAGTGCTCTGAGGTTTGAACAAACTCTCACGACAGGCTACACAGCTACAGAAGAATACAGGAGACACAGGAAATCTCTGATTCAAAACAGAGTTTGAACTGAACAGCTGCCCAAATAGGTGCACAACCAGTGGGACTTTCTCTCTAAAACGTGCCCCACCGGGCAAGGGTAAGTTAATGCCCAGACAATAAATTCAAGTGCTCAACACTGAAAACAAACAGGCAAACCAAAGCCCTTGTTGCAAAGAGGATTAAAATGAGGGGCAGGGCCAGCTGAGGAAGATCAGTTTTAAAGGCAGACAGAACAAAAGCAACAGGAATTAGATCTGAAACAGCTCAAAAGAAGGGGAGTGGACCCTTCACCTAAATTGTCCTACTTCCTTAAGAGTGTTTGTGAAAGTTGTCAAATATGTTGTATTTACATTTTTACCCCAAAATATGGTTTTTAAAAATTATGAAATGATGTTTGCAACTTCGGAAATTGAGTCACAGACAGAAAAATCACTTAGGGAAAATGATGGAAGTAAATATCAACTAACATCCTAAGAGGGGGTGCCTGAGGCGGAGGAGGAGATGGGGAGCTAGATTGGGGGAGATTAAGACTGAGGGACACAGGGACTCTGAGGGAGAGTGGGAGGATCTTAAAGCCCCAGAAGCCTTGAGCCCCTCTTAAGACCCTGACAATTTATGCAAAACAGTGCAGCAAAATTTACAAATAGTTAAATTGAACCAATATTTTGTAAACCAATACTTTGCTTAAATTCAGTGTTGTTGTGGGTGGATGTCAATCAGTTGGGTTCAGAAATTGTTCTCAACAGACAGCCAAGTGAAGGAGATTTTGTGGATATGAATATAATCATTTTACATGATTTTATATTGATAAGGGGTAAGCAATTAGAAATATTATTAAAAATGTTATTTCCCTTTGAAAATGGGTAAATAAATTAGTCACTATCCTCCCAATGGATTATCAGGCAGCCGTTAAAATCATGTTTTTGCCCTAGCTGGCTTGGCTCAGTGGATAGAGCATCGGCCTGTGGAGTGAAGGGACCCGGGTTTGATTCTGGTCAAGGGCACATGCCTCAGCTCGATCCCCAGTAGGGGGCGTGCAGGATCAATGATTCTCTTTCATCATTGATGTTTCTCTCTCTCTATCCCTTCCTCTCTGAAATCAATAAAAATATATTTTTAAAAAATCATGTTTTCAATAATAGTTAATGATATGGTGACTCTGGATAAAATAGGTAAGTGGAAAGCAGCAAAATACAAAACTGTCTATACAAAAATAAATACCTATTTGATTATTTTTTCTTTCGGGCTGTGCTCTCTGCCTAAAACACTCTTATTCTCTTCTTATATGGCTACTTCCATTCTGCTTAGGGTCTCAATTTAATAACTTCTCAGGAGGCCTTCCCTGACTTCCTACGTCTTCACCAGGGACCCCTGCTCTGTACTCACATTGTACCGTTCTTCCCTCATCATAGCACTTGTCGCACTGCATTGCACTCATCTTTGAGTCCCCACTGGACTGTAAGTTCTAAGTGGGCACGCCCTGCCGGTGACTATCTTACTTGGCTGCGAGTGCTTGGGGTGCAGTTAACAATAAATATTTGTCAAGTCAATAAATGACAAATGAATATTTCAATATAGAGGAAAGCAACTTCTTTTGGGCAGTCTTGGGAGGGGAGCGGAGGCTGATCCGCTCAGTGTCAGGTTACCCCGGAATGGAGGTTTCTTGCTAAGGCAGGAGGGAGAGAAGGAAAATCAGCCTAAAACCCAGCTGGAATGCCTGCTTCCGCATGGAGTGACTGGACTGGGAGCACACATTCTTCACGTGGCCCCTGCTTTCCTACGGAATCACTTCCTGAATCCTTCTTGGGACTCCTGTGGCAGCCACATGCACTCATTCACTGACTGTCCTGCATGGTCCTGGTCCTTGTGTGTGCGGGTCCTGTCTTCCTTGGTCTGTTTCAGCATCAGGCGGAATGCCCTACAGAGGCCGAGGGGCAGTTAGCAACTTGTCATCTGTGGGGGCAGCCAGATGACTTGGTAGTCACCTTCATGAACGCGAGGCCACAGGAAAGGAATGGGCGCTTTGCTCTTGGTCACCAAGAAGGGCTAGTCCGATCTACTAACGAGGGAAGTGGGGACTGACCTGGGGTCGAATATGGGTTTGGGGTTTCCCTCAGGCAGACATTTGGACGTCATGGTTGGTGTTACGTGCTGTTGAGTCGGCTCCAGTTCCTGGTGACTTTATGAGTGATGTTCACCATGTCCTGTCTCAACAGCCCTGCTCAGCTCCTGCAGACTCACACCTACGCCTTCTTTTATGGAGTCAATTCATCTCATATTTGGTCTTCCTCTTCCTGCTGCCTTCTGTTTTGCCGGGCATTATTGTTTCTTCCAAAGAGCCCTGTCTTCTCATGATGTACCCGAAGTAAGACAGCTTTAGTTTTTCCATTTCTGCTTCCAGCGATGGTTCAGGCTTAATTTATTCAAAACCTGTAGGGTTCTCGGTGTAGAAATTGGAGTTCAGACACGTTACACACAGGATGTGGATGCAGAACTCTACAGTGACCTCTAATGGCGTATCTGCATAATGGAAAGAAAACTGTGAGGCCTGAAAATACAACAGGAAAAAAAAAAATACACATCGAATAACAGGTTTCTGCTTCAGGCATTTCTTCTATCTTCTTTAGATTCTTACTGAAACACGTGTTCAGGATCACCATAATTTTGTCCCAAGTGGTTTTTAAAAATATGTTTATTTAGTTGTCAATATTTTTAAAAAGGGTATATTAATTAAAAATCAGGGGGGGATGTCAATTAAATCTTCACACGAAGACCTGTGAAGAGAGCTGTAATGACATGTAATGACACTCACTGGAGCTGAAGACCGGCTGTGCCTTTTGGCTTTCTTGAATAAGCTAAATCCTCCACCCGATGTCTGCAGCAGTCAGCTGAGATTATATTAAACTCTCCTAAAACCTAAAAACCGCAGTGTCTTACAGCAACTTACAGTGTCTTACAGTGCTTAAATGCCATTGTCTGTGGTGGATATAGGCTTCGGGGTCCTGAATGAAGGAGCAGCCCTCGTTTGGAATATGCTGTCCTTGCTACAGAGGGAAAAGAAAAATGGTCACACGGAGCCAAGGCTTCATGCTTCTGCTCACACAGGGTAAATGCTGTTTCTGTTCACATTCTATTGGCCAAAGCAAATCATGGGCCAAGCTGACATCAGTGGGGCAAGGAAGTCTACTTCCTCCAAAGGGAAGTCCTGCAAGTCATATGGCCACGGTGAGAATATAGAAAGCACTTATGGGAAGGGCAGTGAATAATTGAGAACAAGAATATAATTGGCCACATTCATTTATACTTTCTGTCTAGCTCCTTTCTGCATTGGGTTTGCAAATCCAATTTAGGTAGATATCAGTAAAAGATAAGGGACTAATCTATAGTAATTTCTTATATTTAGTTTTTATTGAGATGTAATGTACACACATTTTAAGTGTGCAACTTGTTGAGTCAGTTGCACACACCACACACATATATACACACACACGTGTGTGTGTGTGTGTGTAACCACCACTCAGATCAGTATGCAGCACATTTTAACACTGCTAGTAATTTCTTTCTTGCTCCTTCCCAGTCAATACCTATCCTGCATAGAGGTAACAGCTACTCTAACTTCTAACGCTGTTGTAGATCACGAGTTTCAGTATGATTTGTTGAATCTGATATTTCTCTGGAAGATTCCAGTGGAGAGGTAAAGTAGGAAGATGGAAGATTGAACTCAGCGCTTAGAAGCGGTATCTAGACTGGAGATAGAGATGAGGCAGTTGTGAGCCTATACATAGGAGATAGTGAGGGACAGGAGACAAGGGCAGGTCAATAGTGTCTTCAAGCTTGATGGACAAGCCCCAGAATATGTCTAGCCTCGTCCTGGGAACTGGAGACATAGAGGAGACCCAGATCTATTGTCTCAACTACTGGTAAGTTGTAGGTTCTTGAAGCATCCATCTGGAACCTTATTAAAGACTAGAGGCCTGGTGCACAAAAATTTGTGCGTCGGGGTTGGGGGTCCCTCAGCCAGTCCTATGCCCTCTTGCAGTCTGGGACCCCTTGGAGGGATGTCCACCTGCTGGCTTAGGCCCACTCCCTGGGGGATCAGGCCCAAGCTGGCACTTAGACATCCCTCTGGCAGCCCAGCAGCCCTTGGGGGATGTCTGCTTGCCAGCGGGATGCAGGCCTAAGTTGCAGTCGGACATTCTTAGCGCTGCTGAGAAGAGGGGAGAGGCTCCCACCACCACCATTGTACTGGCAGCCGTCAGCCTGGCTTGTGGCTGAGCAGAGCTCCCCCAGTGGGAGCGCATTGACCACCAGGGGGCAGCTCCTGCATTGAGCGTCTGCCCCCGGTGGTTATTATGTGTCATAGTGACCAGTCATTCCAGTCATTCTGCTATTAGGGTCAATTTGCATATTACCCTTTTATTATATAGTTTTGAAGCCTGGTGCACGGGTGGGGGCCAGCTGGTTTGCCCTGAAGGGTGTCCCGAATCAGGGTGGGGATCCTGCTGGGGTGCCTGGCCAGCCTGGGTGAGGGGC